TCTCCCTCTAAGAAACAAAAATGACAGGAATATTACATAGCATCACAGGTGACCTTGTAAAACCAGGGCTTAGGATTCAAATGGTAGAGAAATTTCAGTTTATCTACAAACCTTGAGAGATTTGATTCTTCATTTTCAAGTTAAATTAAAGTAAACAAAAACAACGAGAGAGAAATTAACAAAGGTCATGCAGCAGAAGACATAAATTTAGTTACAAGCGACTTGCTCCATCTCAGTCCATACCCATAAACTTTTCATTCCTCATTCACCTTGCAAGATCAAGTTCAGCCTGATAAAGCTTCAGGAGTTCACTGCATTCTTCCTCATGACTGATGACCAATCTTCTCAAAAACACCCTTTCAGTATAGAGAAATATTGAGAGCAATCTTTCCTTTTTCACCAGACCTTTTGACAACAAAACTTGAATGACAGAAGCCCGTGGAACAATTCGTCTATTCAAACTAAGTGACAGAACTACTGCATAAGTGGGAATAGTGGAAGGCGGACAGCCCAATTTCTGAACAAGATCGTCATTATTGCATCAATTTATCCTCAGATGCCTTCATACAAAATGGGAAACTTCTGAAAGCAGCATGAATGTCGTTGTCTGACCAGCCCCACTTCTTGTAAACCTTAGCCTTTTTTGACCATGTAGATTTGCTTAGCGACGACAATACGTAAACGGCGATACAAAATGAAACTTTAAAGGATCAAACCCCATTTCCTGAACTCGCTCCACTATGATATTGAATTTTTCAGTACTTGTAGTCACTGTCTTAGGATAGATTTGCAACAACATTTGATTATGTTTGATTCAGGAACTCCGACTTCTCTTAATAGCTTCATATTAGGCACGGCAAGGGTGTTAATATCAATAAGAATGCCCGAGCAAGATTAAGAGCTTTAATGAGCTTGTCATCAGATTGAAACAAATCTCGAAAGAAATCAAAGGAAGGAATGAGCTGCTTATTTAAGCTTCTTTTCATAATGTTAGGACAACTACATAAGAGCTTAGGGATGTCTGAACTCGAAACGCCTCTGGATATGAAAAACTCGATCTTGGGGAGTATGGTTTTCTCAGGGTGAGATCGAAGACATTGGGGGACTCGTCTTGTGACACGAAGAATCTGGGATTTTGAGAATCCGAGATTCTTCAAGAAATTGATAACCGTATCTGGTTTTTCTCGCGTTTCCAAGCTGAGATACTTGGAAACTCCAGCAGCTTCTTTGGGTGAGAAGCCACATGTGTCAATGAGATATGAGACTGTGAAAGAATGCTCGCTGGATGAAATTGAATTACAGTACCTGGCAGTGGCAGGTAGACATTGGCTTTGAAAGCAAAGTAATTGCTGAGATGTTGAGGGAGAGATTGTGTTGATGATATGCCTCCGAAAAAGGATGATTTTCCTCAGAAAGCAAAACATGGTTTCGCAAAAGACGGAGCAAGCTAACAGCGAACCCTGCGCCCGCGGGCAGGCAGACCGGTGTTTTGTGGAAGGCCACCGAGATTACTTCCCCTTTCTGAAAATATTAAAAGCGTAAAGCATACGTTTAGGAGCTATTTAGGTGGAAATTAAATTATAGTTTTAAAAATATTTTTAAGAATTAAGAATTAAATATGTGGAGGAGTTTGTCTCGTTTTGTAGAAAAACACTTTTAAGGGTTGCCAAACACCCCCTTATTGAGTATTTGGGTGGAACAAAACTATGACTTGAAAGATAGTTTTACAATATACGAAATAAATATGTGAAGAAATTTATCTTAATTTGTAAAAAAATATTTTTGAAAATACTTTTTTGAGTTTTGAGAATCCAAACACCTCCTTAATTGAAGTTTTAATTTGATTCCTTTTTTTTTTCAAAATTTTTAATTTGGTGTCTTAACTTTAAAAATTATAATTTTAGTCTTTAATCCAATATTGTTATTAAAATCATAAATGTTAGTAAAATATTATTAAATATTAATATATTAAGTTTAATTTTCAAAACGATTACGGTTATTATAAAAAATTATCATTTAAGCATAATAATTTTCTAGTTAAATGACAAATGTATCACTTTTAAAATTAAAGGATTAAATAAAATCTTATATAAAATTAAAAGGCCAACTGTATAGTTTAGCCTATTGTAAATATTACTTTCTTGTTCAAACAAAAATAACTTTTAGGTATAAATTAAAAAAAGTATAAAGGAAAACTATGCTGAAATGCCCATAATTCTTTAATTCTTAATTTTATATCTATGTGTTTTCCCCTTATTAAAATATTTTAATTTTACTATTTTAACACTATAAATCTCTATAACTTTGCTCTATTAATATTATCAGATCACCTACAAAACTAATTGTGCTAATAAAGTAAAATTAAAGGATTTAATATAGAGAAAGAAAAACTTACAGGTACCAAACTAAAAATTAAAGAAAATTATAAGTACCTCAAGAATGGTTTTTCCCAAAAAAAAAAAGGGATAAAATTGTAAACATATCGTGGGTAAGAAAATTATTTCCTCCACTCTCGTTTACAAATCAATATTTACTAGTCAAATTTTTGTATTTACACATGATATCATCATTTTGAGATATAAATATGTGAATGCTGGGATAGCGCAAAAGTTAATTCTAAAAGATTGTCCTTGGCCTTTTTTTTTTGTCTTTTTGCCAGGCGATTTTTCTTGGTTTTTAAATAAGAACACTTCATGACAAAGATTAGCCAGGGAGGGACAATTAAGAAGTCAAAGACTTTATATTCTAGTGGCATGAATGCTTTCTTATTAGTGAGAGGTTGCATTTGGTCACGTTCATAACACTTTACTATTAATACAATCCCTTTAATTTGAATGGGAAAAAAAAAAACAGAGAACAAAACAACAAACATAGTACACTACGTACTCAAATAATCTCTATTCCAGTCCAACATAGTAAGGGCAGGATCAGAAAAACAGTATATTGATCCTCAATGTCATGAGCTAAGCTCACAATCCAATTAGCACACATTGTTAACCTCCAAAAGCGGAAGTGACATTCCAATTCTTGATGGGGAGATGTCTGATTCCTTCCATCAGTGTTTGCATTTGATGCTCTGCGACATTGTTCTTATGAGTTAGCTAATTTATAGTAAGCTGGGGAAAGTTTTTAGGAGGCTCCATGCTCGAATATTGTAATCATTCTTTATTTTACCTGCATATATTGCATAACAACCAGACACAAAGCAGATAAATCAGGAAACCCCATGTGAAAATAATTGTAAATTTCTCATTCCAAGGACAAAGCATGATGTTACGATATTCACGATTATGTAAACATAAAGACAGAGCAAATTAAAGGGCTTCCAACCCAAAAATATAAAGTACGTAAGCCTAAACAAACACAATAGACAGAGTAGGATCATTAGTATGGTATCTTTGGACTTCAGTTGTTTCATACTTATTCTTGCAAGGGATAAGAGATACTTAAATAGGCTCAGCTTTAATATTCCATTGTAGTTCATGTTTCTTATTTGAGAGACAATAACTGTATATAGAATGATTAGTTTCACGGGTGACCTTCATTTGATTACTTCCAAGCTAAACTAAATAAAATAACAAGACAGAAACTCATGGCATAATGCACTAACTAAACCAATCAGTGGGATGGGGCTTCAGTAATTGCCTCACCTCAATCCATATGCATACACATACTTTTATGCAACTATCTAATATGCGATATCATTACGGGGCCAAATTGAAGCATTACTAGCCTTTTCAATCTTCATTCAGCTTGCAAGATTCAGGTTAGCTTGGTACAACTTCAATTTGCTTATTCAAGCTCAGTAGCAAAAATCATGGATATTTAGTGATAGTGGAAGATTTACAGACCAGCTTATTGACGAGAAACTGCATTACGGCATCAATTTTACTCTTTGACACCGTCTTTATGTTTGTTATTTTGCTCCTTTGAGGAATTCAGAGACAATACATGCTTAGCTCTAATCACTTCAATCTATTTTATTCATAATCTTTGTTCCAAAATGATAATCCTTTAGGAAACATCTCTTTATAAACACAGCCACTGCATAACACAACCTGGTGAAACTTGAGGATTAAGTGAAATGATGAAGAAAGAAATTTCAGTGTGTAGAGAACTCTACCGAGTTTGATCGTTCATATCCAAGATAAATTAAGGTAGAAAACAAGATAGAAATTGATAAGGTAATGCACTATAAAAAATAAAGGGAAAAGCAAAACAGCACTATGAAAAAGGAAGAAAGAACTCACCAATTGATGGGGATAATCTTAACTAAAGCCCTTGTTTCATACAGTGCCTGGAATGAGACTCATAAGCAGGGAGCTGCCATTGTAACTATTGTTTAAATTCCCACATCGCCCAATATCAATAACAAGAAATTCTGCCATGGGGGAAGATTAAGTAATAAAGGAGGAAGAAAAAATTGTTGCGGGTGACTGAAAAGACCAATTGTCTTCCAAAGAGCCCACGCCAAATGCTTGCATATACCTAGGAAATGTTTCAAAGAGCATAACATAAGAGAGAATGGAAGAAACCGCATGAGGGGGGAAAAAAAGGAAAGAAAAATCCAAGGCCTTCCCTTTTGATGTAAAATATCTTCCTCTAAGAAGCAAAAATGACAGGAATATTACATAGCATCACAGATGACCTTGTTAAACTCAGGACGTGACCAAATTCAAATGGCCGAGAAATTTTAGTTTATAGACAACCCTTGAGAGATCCCACTCCTCATATTCAAGGTAAATTAAAGTAAACAAAAACAAGGAGAGAGAGAGAAATAACAAAGGTGGTGCAGCAAAAAGACAGAAGTTTAGTGAAAAGGGACTTGCTCCATCTCAGCCCATACCCATAACCGTTCATTCTTCATTCACCTTGCAATACCGCTTCAGGAGTTCATTACATTCTTCCTCACGAGTCACGATAAATCTTTTCAAAAACTGCCTTTCGCTATAGACAAAATGTTGAAAGCAAGCTATAGTATATAACAAAATGTTCAACTTAGGATCGAGGTCAACTCAAGGAGAAATTTGAGTGCCAGAAGCCAAAAAAGCTTCACTAATTGGATTGGTCACGTCCAAAGTAAATGAAAGCAAACAAGAAAGAGTTTCTAATCTATATTGAAGAACAGGATAATGTTCTGCACCAAAGAAATTTGGTGAGAAAAGACTAAACCACTGTATCATCGCAGTTCATTCCCATACCTCTAAGCTTTTCTATTATTCATTCATTTTGTAATCTTCAATTTGAGAGCCCAGAAAAAGATTCATTAATTGGATTGGTCTAGTCCAAAACAAGGTAGAGGTCCTAGTCTATATTGAAGAAAATGATAATGTTATGCACCAAAGAAATTTGGTGAGAAGAGACTAAACCTCTGTATCATCTCAGTCCATTCCCATACCTGTAAGCTTTTCCATTCTTCATTCACCTTGCCAGCTTCAATTTGCCCTGATACAGCTTCAATAATTGAGTAGCTTCCTCCTTCAGGTTACTCATGATAAACCTTCTCAGAAACGTGCTTTCAGGGTACATAAATAGCAGTGGCAAGCTCTCCTTTTGCACGAGACCCTTAGACAATAAAATCTTAATCACAGCACCTCTTGGCAAAAATCTCCGCTTCATACTGAACGAGATAACCCCTGGATATTTAGCAACGATGGAAGATTCAAGATTCACATCCTAATTTGTTGACCAAAAAATCCATCACTGCATCGATCTTATCTTTTGATGCCTTCATGATGAATGGATACTTCCTAAATGCTGCAAGAATGTCATCCTCCGACCAACCCCACTTCTTATAAACATCAACTTTTTTTCCCAAGTGGATTTGCTTGCTGATGCCAATACAGAAACGGCCAAAACAAAGTTTACCTGCCCAGGATTAACACCCAGTTCCTTCACTTCCTTCACAATCTCCTCAAATCGAACACAACTTTTGGTTATTACCGAAGGAAAATATTGTAACAGTTTTATGACATTTGATTCAGGAACTCCTGCTTCTCTTAACAACTTCATATTAGGCATGGAACGGCTGTTTAAATCAAGAAGAATACCCGAGAAATTTGTGACAACTTGAATGAGTTGGGCGTCAGATTGAAACAAATCTCGAAAGAAATGAAAGGAAGGAATGATCTGCTTACTTAAGCTTCTCACCATGATGCTAGGGCAACTACATAGGAGCTTAGGGATGTCTGAGATCGAAACGCCATTGGATACAAGAAACTCAATCTTGGGCACTAAGGTTTTCTGAGGATCTGATCGAAGAAGTCTTGGGAGCTCTCTAACAAAACGATGAATCTGGGGTTTAGTGAGTCCTTGACTCTTGAAGAAATTGATAACCAAATCTGGCTTATCTCGCGATTCGAAGCTGACGAGCTTAGAAACTGAAGCAGCTTCTTGTGGTGAGAGAAGCCACATGTGTCAATGAGATACGAGACAGTGAAAGAATGCCTATTTGATGCGACTGAATTACAGTACCTCGCAGATAACCATTGGCGTTGAAAACAAAGCAATTCCGGAAGTATAGTCTCCGGAGAAATTGTGCCGAAAACAATAAGCCTTCGGAAAGGGATTGTTTTGCGGAGAAAACAAAACATTGATTGCAGAAAGCTAAAGCACAGGAGAATAGAAGAGGGGAGGAACCCTCCGGTTGATGAAGATAATCTTTGCTTTGCGTGGGAGCTGGGTAAGTTCCCTGCCACGGCAATGGACTCATTTTTTAAAATTAAACTACAAGAACATGAGCCGAAGGAGGGGCGCTTCAACGGTGGCCAAAAAAAAAAAAAATGAGTAGTACTCCTCCGGTCCTAATTATAAGACCCAATTGACTTATTTAAGGAGATTAAGGAAGTAAGTTAAGTGGTTATTTATAATAATAAGTGTTGTCATTCCGTAAATATCCTTACTAATTAAATATATTGGCTAAAACTATCATTATTAGAAGGATTATCTCGGAAAAAATGCATAAATATAAGAGAGAAAATGGATTGGGTCTTATAATTAGGACCAAATAAAAGTCAAATTGGGTCTTATAATAAGGACCGGAGGAGTATTGTATTTCTTAAAATATAAAAAGATTACCTTAAAAAAATATATATATATACACACACACATAACTATTAGAGACAAAGTAGTTTGGGATCTTATATTTAGAATTAAATAAAATCAAATAAGGTCTTATATTAAGGAAGGACAAGAGGTAATATGTTGAAAGAAATAAAAAAATCCTTTTATTTTATTTAAATTAAATAATAATTATAATGGTTGAAGCATATAACAATTTTCAATTTTTTTTAAGCATTTTTATTTTTATTGAAGAAATAGACTTTATGAATGTAAACACACAAGGGATATAATACTACTTCATATTTTTAATATAAAAACTAGATAATTAATTTAGAAATGTTAAAATTTGTTAGTTAAGTTAGTTATTTATCAAAAATATATATTAGTTTTCCTAAATTATTCTCTTCAATCACGTGCATTAAATGATTAGAATTATTTTTTTATGGGAATCTGAATCTGACAATCAATAAAGAGATTTTTTATAAAAAATAAGAAACAAAAAAATTAAAATATTATATTTAAAATCAAATCTAACTATGAACTATTTATATAAAAGCACTGGTTTATAAATGAATACACGAATCATTTTGATGATCACATATTTTTTATTTTTTTGAATGAGCGACTGTGGTTTTTGCCATTGAGGTGTGGTGTTTGAGTGCCTGTTTGGGAGAGCGTATGATGGGCCATAAGCAGCTTATTTTGAAGATAAGCCCGATTCAAAAATTTGTCTCTGTTTGGCATTACTTGTGAGCCACCGAGCTTGAGGGTTGAAAAGAGTGAAAACGCACGATTAAATTTAAGTTGAGGAGGGGGAGCTTTTTGAATAAGAAGCTTATGGACCATGTCAGGAAAAGGTTGTCAGTATGAGGCTTTTGCTATTCTTGTCTTTCCTTCGTCCTGGTATCTTTCATTTTCTTGTCTTGAATCTTTTTTTTTTTTTTTGCCAAAATCTTGAATTGTAATTTGAGACTCGTTGGTATTTTTATTTCTAATTTAAGACTTGAGTTAATTTTAACTTAATTGGCTCTTATCATAATTTTGTTAATTTTTATTTGTAAGATTATTTATAAATGTTAATTATGCATGTTTCACTTTATATTTACAATAATTTTTTATGATTCCTCTAATATTTTAAAATTTACTTTACTCATTAAATTTCACTTCTTCATATTAAATTAATTTAAACTCATTGTATTATGTTAATTTATTTTTTTAATCGTATTTTATTATTTATTAAAACTCATACCTATTTTGGTAATTTTACAAACAAACTTATTTTTATTCAATCATAATCCACTCAATAAATTTCACTTCTTCATATTAAATCATTTTAATTTCATTGTATTATGTGAAATCATTTTTTTAATTATGTTTCATTATTTATTAAAACTCATACCCATTTTAGTTATTTTACAACTAAACTTACTTTACTCAACTATAATCCAAACAACTCTTTACCAATCTCACTTTTACAAATTAGTTTTTCTGAACTCCAATCCAAACACAATTCAGCTTATCCAATTTAGCTTTTACCAACTTCACTTTTCCATAAATTACTTTTTCAATAAGCTACTTTTCTAATCGCTAATACAAACGGACCCTGACTAATAATTTCATACAGCTAAGCTACTTTGTCTGCTTTGTTGTTTTCCTTACCTCGTTCCTGTCTTCCTGAACTCCCCGTCCCTCCTACCAAATATTGCCTTAATTCCACCAAAACAATTCATAATTATCTTAACAGAATCAATAACAATGGTTTTGAAACTCTATTTGATCCATTTTTTATTTTTAAAAAAAACATTTCAAGTTTACAACAGAAATTGTTTTCTGACAACAAATCATATTTAACAAAATTGTCACTTGTCAAGTAGAATTAACAAATGATGCTGGTGAAAGAAATAAGGAATAAAATTGGGCAATTTATCAATCATTAATTCAAATTGCTTTTCAAATTTATATTGCCTTCGGTATCTAGTTTGTAATATAAATAACATTACAAATTAGATCTTATTTAGAATTAACAGTAGTCTTTTTTCCTCCTAAACTATCCCTTATGCATATAAATAGAGTTTCTATCAATAAAAATAATTTTCACAGCGAATGATTAGAAGAGGAATTTTAAGAAAATCAATACAAATTTTTTAATCAACTTAACTAATTTTTTTAATATCTATAAATTGATTATCTAGTTTTTACACTTACACCACAATGACACCCCCATCCTCCTTGCTTTTTAATGAAACAAGAATGTGAGGTATTACATTAACACTAGACTACTTTCAAACCATTCCCCAAACATTACCAGCCATGAACAAACAAACATACTGTCTCCGATCCTTAATATAAGACCCTATTTGATTTTTATTTTGATCCTAAATATAAGATCCCAATCCACTTTATCTCTCATATTTATATATATATTTTTCAAAGTAGCCTTTCTAACAATGATAGTTCTAGTCAATACACTTGATTAGTAAGGATATTTTAGGAAAGACAACACCGATTTAGGACAAGTAACTAATTCAACTTACTTCTTCAATCTCCTCAAACCATTCAACTGACTCTTATAATTAGGACTGGAGGTAGTATAACTTTTTTGGTCGTGATTCTTGTGTACTTCAATGAACGATGCTATAAAGTTGAACTTTACCAGCTGACCCACAACAGAGAGTTTACATCTAGTTTTTTGAAAGTGGCTCCATTCCTTTGGCATATGTTGACTACTTTTATTGGAATATGTAATCATTCTTTGAGATCCTTAAAGATTCCCCATTCCCACTTCACCTTGCAAGCTCCAATTTACCCTGATAGGGCTTCAATAGTGCACAAGCTTCCTTTTGGCACATGATAAGCCTCTTCGAAAGGACAATATCAGTGCAGGTAAATGTAACAGGCAAGGTTTTCTTTTTCAACAGACCCTTTGACAGCAGAGCCTCAACCACTGCATCCCTCGGAATAAACTGCCTATTTAAACTCAATGAAAAAAATTTGTGGATATCTGGTAACAGTGGAAGATTCACATCCCAATTTGTTGACCAAAAACTCCATCACTGCGTCAATCTTATCTTCTGATACCTTCATGCAGAAGCGATGCCTTCTAAATGCGAAAAGAATGTCATCATCAGACCAGCCCTCCTTCTTATAAGCATTAGCTTTCTTTTCCCATGTAGATTTGCCCACTGATGACAATGCCCAAAGGGCCATAATAAACTGAAACTTCGAAGTATCAAACCACATTTCCTTACTTTCCTCCACATTCATTTTAATCGACCGGGATTTTTAGCCAGTGCCATGGGAAACAGTTATAACAATTTGATGGCATTTGATTCACGAACTCCAACTTCTTTT